ATTATAATAATTACCATAAATTTTTATTAAATTTTTATTTTATTAATTATCATAATTATTTTAATAATTATCATAATTATTATTCAAACAATTTTGTTAATAACTATATGTATTTGTAGACACAATCTACGTGCAATATAATAAATTAAGCAATTTTTTGCATATGTAAAAATTAAAAAAAAGAAAGATTAGAACTAACCGTAGCTGGATCTTCTAACGGTTTTTCAATTTCAGTTTGCCGAAGAAATACGTTTCCACGGGATATACGCCAAAGCATTCTCTCGAAGGCAGGAACTCGTTCGCGATTTATCACTCCGCCGACGAATCTACAAGAAAACAGATATGTCATTCTAATGGTATAATTTATTAAGCAGTACATTATATATAGCATCGTATATAACTGTCGCTTCATATTGATCTTGTTCAAAAATTTGCTAATAAAATTATCCAACAAATAATATTATTTATTATATATTTCTTTCCAAATATATGTTATCATCGAAATTAATTAGAGAGGGAATTACACAATTGATGAATAAAGGACAAACTTTCATTCTTTTTCATTTTAAATAAATGCTATATATGTAATAGTAGAACAATTTATTATTCCGAGGCAAATCCCCTCTATTAGAATAGTGCGCGTATTAGGGCGAATAAAGGAGAGCATTTACGTATAAAGCCGTCCTTTTAATATTATTAAAACATAACGGCACACGTATATATTACGCATACACTTTTGATATATTAATATTATATCTAATATTCGAAGCTTTTATATCCGACGATTCGTCGACCATAAACTTACTCCAGATGTCCACGAATCGAAATTGCTGGATTCTGTGCTTCCTCGTTAATGAGCGCCTTGGTGATCGAGTCGTTGGCTTCTTCCTGTTGATACAGAAGAAGAAGAAACGAATCTTGATTCTTCGACAAAACGGTAACATCGATTACACGAAGGAGGACGGCGTTACGAACAAAAGCTGCTGAACTACTTTAGGTACCTCCGTGAAAAACACTTGCGTCTTTTCGAGTACGTGCTGAAATTCCGTCAGCTCGAGATAGTTGCTCTTCAGATTTACCCCGTTCTGGCTCAGCTCTTGTATATCGTTCTCCGTTTTCTCAAGATGCGCCTGTTGCAAGAGAAAATATGATTGATATACCATTGATATACCATTGATAAACTATTGAATCAATCATAATTTAAATCAAATCTTAATTTAAATAATAATGCTATTGTTATGTAATATAATAATTAATTTATCAGGTGATTGCATAAGTTCGTGCCCGATTTAAATATAAACTTCAATAGATTATATTTTAGAGATAACACTTTTATTAATCAATTATATAGTCTCCATTCTTTTCTACAATGGTTTTCCAACGATCTACAAGCTTGTCGATTCCATTTTTGAAGAAAGAACTTGGTTTTTCATGAAAAAAGTTTGTAAGGTGGTTTTCGACAACTTCCTCGGAATTGAGATTCTTGCCATTTAAACTATTCTGCAAAGACCGGAACAGATAAAAATCTGAAGGCGCAATATCTGGAGAATATGGCGGGTGCTGCAGAATTTCCCATTGCAACTCCTGCAATTTTCGCAGCGTCTGTTGAGCGACGTGTAGCCTAGCATTGTCGTGGTGGAAGATGACGCCTTTTCGATTGGCCAAAATCGGACGTTTTTCTCGAATAGCTGCAGCGAGTCTAGTTAGTTGCTCACAGTACTTGTCCGCCGTGATTGTTTCGCCGCGTCGGAGCAGCTCAAAGTAAATAATTCCCTTGCGATCCCACCAAACACACAGCAACACCTTCATCGGATGCAAGCCAGCCTTTGCTACGGGTTCTGCTCCTTCAACTGCTGTTTTCCATGTCCTCTTTCGCTGTACGTTTTTGTAGAGAATCCACTTTTCATCGCCTGTTACCATTCGATCTAAAAAAGGCTCTTTTTTGTTACGCTCGAGAAGAGAAAGAGCCACAGTCATACGGTTTAGCTTATTCCTTTCAGTCAGGAGATGCGGCACCCATGTATCAAGCTTGGAAACGTATCCAAGCTTTTTTAAATGACGAAAAGCGGTTGAATTATCGATGTTCAGCCTCTCAGCAATATCCTCAGTTGTAATCCTTGGGTTTCTTTCCACTAAGGCATGCACAATGTCATCATCAATGCCAGAAGGCCGTCCAGAGCGGGGTTGATCCTCCATGTTGAAATCACCATTTCGAAATCTGCCAAACCACTTTTTGACTGTTCGGAGAGCAGGAGCGCGGTCCAAATAAACGGTTTGAATATTTTTTTGTGCAATCCCAACACTCACGCCTTTCCGAAATTCATATAACATTACATGCCGCAAATGCACCTTTTCGTTCTCCATTTTTAATGATTTCTCTTATGCACAAATGGACTTATCTGAACAATGTCTGACGCTAAATTGACATAAGACAACGTCATCTATTCGGTGTAAGCAACAATTACCACACGAAAACAATAGAACTCCGCCATGCAGTAACTTAATGCCATCTATGAAAATCGGGCACGAACTTATGCAATCATCCAATATAATAATATATATTAATAATGTATGTATATAGCACTTTTTCACAAAATTTATCGTTTGTAATTGGATATGATTTAACTTTGCGGTACGTCAAGATAAAATAATCTTGTGACATATCACCATACGTGTATTGAAGATGTAGACTGATGAAATCTATGTACGATGAAAAATCGATTCGCTGCTGTTAGTTTCAAAATGTCACATTTTACGGAGAAGAAATTTTACCTCGAGATTTATAATCTCACGTGGGTTGGGTGCCCGCGGTAGTTCCGTAAGATTATCCGGGATCGGCACACCGTCTTTCCTGACTTCCGCCTCGATATATCGAAGCTTGCGCTCCAGTTCGTCGCATCGTCGAACCTCATTGACAAATTTCCGTTGAAAATAATTCACGTCGCCGTTCAGCTATAGACAATACGTCAAAATTTAACTGCGTTTTATCGACGTAATTCAAAAAAAAGTTTAACGGATAATAACTTCAACTTTGTACATATTCAAACGAGTATACTAAAAACTTATTTTTTTTACTTAATTCGTGTATTAATTAGATTGAATCATCTAAATAAGTATGTTTACATAAGCATAACTCCAAAATATACATTCGAAAAGATCGTATATAACATTTTTATATTCCAATACTTTTTTAATACTAACAAAAAAATCAGCGTGTTGGATGGCACTTTTCAATCATCATTTATTACATTATGGTCAGATTAATTATGTCATAAATGTCAGATGTATCGTAAAGCAATCAATGGAAATTACATTCAACTTACATCACGAAATTGCACCGTACCGGTTTCTCCTAGTTCAGAAACGGAAAGGTAAGCTGCTTCCGGCTGAATAAACAGTTGGCAAAGGGCCATCTCCTCGCTTCTGAACATTCCCCCCATCTTCAAATTGATTTAATCCTGCGACAAGGAATAATTTTTTTTTTAAACTGCAATCTCTCTCTCTCTCTCTCTCTCTCTCTCTCTCTCTCTCTCTCTCTCTCTCTCTCTCTTTTCTTTTTACCTTTTTAAGCATGCAAGAAAATAATTAAAATATGGCACAATCCACATTTAATAAATGAACGAGGTAATTTCGAAAATTGCTTATAAAATGGCAATTTTTATAAACTCATTTAATTAATCTCGTTTACATTAGCCATACATAAATCATTCAGCCAAATCAACTTAAATAATACAATTTTTGAATAATACTATTTAACATAAATATTATTACGTCAATATAAATATATCAATAAAAACTGAAACTCTCTTTCACGCGCGCGATAACTATTTAAAAAAAAAATAAAAACGTACGTAAAAATATAACGTTATAATGAGATTCCGTAAAAGATATTCATGAATCTGCAAGACTTACGACTATTTATATCGCGCAAACATTGATACTAGATAAGATAATTATACTTGAAATTATGTCTTATTAGCATGGTACACTTATTATTATCAATTAATAAATTTGTCATGTAAGATATAATAAAATATGGGAAACGAGGCCATTACACTAATTATAAAACAATTTTACATATTTCTTAGCCGTTTGTTAATATATTTGTTAGCTTAAAATGAAATGTAAGCATGAAAAAAAGACTGACAATAAGCCTATTGAACAGTCAAAGAATCAATACAATTTTTGACTGCCCATTAGAGTATGTGAGCTGTATAACTGACAGAAGAAAAAAGCCCGTCACACATTTGTAAAAATTATAAAACAAAACATTAAGTATAAAAATAAATTTCCGAATAAATCACTCACAAACTTCTTTCTATCAGCTGACAACAATTTTAAAAATGAAATATGTAAGAGAGATCATTGAACGTAAAAAGATTCAGAAATGTTGAGAAAACCGCAGTAAAAGACTTTTCTTGTTAGCGAGAAAACTGCCAATATTTCACTTGCAAACAACACTCGTTTGTATGCTCAACCTTAGAAAACCGAGGATTTTCTCATAGATGTGACACGCGCGCTCGCAAAGTCGCTATCAGAGATCCAGTATATGTACACGTGATGGTCTTATCTCAATCCACAAACACAAATTTCTGTACAAAATGCAACGAGAGGTGTATAACTATAATTAGATGATGGCACGGCGACGCGTTGATATTTTATCTGATGAAACATAATCACCGAAAAGTCAAACGAAGTGTTTTACGGCGCTATTTCCACGTAGGTGGAGAAGCGCGAGGGTAAACACATGAGTACGAGATAAGCAAGACGGTTCATAAATATGTATGTGAATAAAAAAATAATGTATACTTGCGGTCCTCGTGCACCCTCGTCGGACTAAATTCTCACTGTTATCGCGTTCGCCGGCGAATAAAAAAGATGATACTAATGTTACGCGCTTGCTTTCGAATGAAATCCAGTAGTTAACAATAATAAATCGCATATGCTACATATTACTATATTAATAATTCAAGAGAATAAAGAAAAAGATTGGTTCTCTCAGATCGCGAACACAGCGATGACTCGAAACTATATAGATTTTCAGCTTTATTTTGTTGAAATACACATCGTGTTCTACAAAATTAAAAAATGATATTTCCCGAAGACACGACGGAATACTCTCCTCCATCACAGTAGTAATCGCGTTTGATATAAGACCAAATAAAGAAAGTTAATCAATACTATCTAGTTTTCTAATCGACCAGGAATTTCTTGATGAGAAATTTTTGATGATGTTTATAACGTATAAGAGAGATCCATAATCAAACTATCCCAATACTATTGAAACTTCTCCTATTGTGGCGTATATATATGTATGTGTGTGTATCTTCTTTAAAATAATTATATACTGTAAGCATAAACCTAGCTCGATTAACGATTAAAAAACCCATTAGCTTTCCTCTGAGCGGCTCAAACTGCTTTTGCTTATCAGTATACCAATGCCCGTGGCGAATTCAAAAGAGAACATCGAAATGCTAACGTGTTATCAACACGACAAATTAACATTTCAAGGTCCGTCTGCTTAAATCAGCGTTTTCGTTGACATCTGGAAAATATTCGACCATGTCACGACGAATCAATTCTTTTGAATCAGTAAAGTAACGAGAAAAGAGATATTCCGACATAATGAATATTTTCTTTTCGCGCGTAAACTTCAACGTGAGAATATTAATGTTTAAAGCTCGATTTAAACGAGATTTATAATATAATATGTGATATTTTACTGTGACATATGACTTTAAAAAAAGATAATATGATAAGAACATTCCATCTACTGATAGCGGTCCAGCAAAATTTCTGTCCAGAAACTGTATTACTAAATTTAATTGCCTATCGCAAATTCTTCTTCCATTACTTCATAGCAACGAGCGATTATAATTGAGTAAGTAATTCGTCACGTTGTTGCACATTCATAAAAGTGCAATATTAAGAATTATTCCCGCATTTCATTGTATTAATGTTTACAAATTAGTTTCGATTGTGTTACATCAATCGGTATTAAAGCGTAAAACAAAAAAAAAACTTGAAAAAGTAAAATTCTTTTTCAATTCTAGAAATTTTTATATATAACTCGTTTTTTAGCACAGAGTTATTAATCTCGTTGTATTGCAATATATAAAAACTTTTATATATTATATTAGCAATATATAAAAACTTCACTGAAAAATTTCGACAAATGCTGAAATGATTTCCTTTCTGCTAACATTGCTTGATTTAATTTTAATAAAACAAAAGCAAATTGCCCATTAACTGATCATGATTATGAAATCATAATCATTAAGATTAATATAAATATAATGCTAAATAATTAAAATTTTATGATTAGTCTTTAAATAAAGATAAAAAAATAAAGAATAATTTTTAATTCTAAATAAAAAGAATGTAGAAATATAAAATATTCGAGAGATGTTTAATCAACATCAAATGAACTCAACATCGAATGAGCCTGAGAGTATAATTGTGGAATGTAACAGTTGCGTGCGAAAATGTGGTAAATAGATAAAATTGCGGCAAATTGACAACGGACGGGCGTTGGTTTCCTGTGAAGTTACAGGGACAATTACTAGAGTTTTATATGGTAACGATTAAATAAATTGCGTTGATGTTAACATTATCACATCCACAATAATATTATTCTCTTATAATCTCACAATAAAAAAGAGAAAGAAAAAAAACAAAGACAAACATCTATTATCTCAGAAAGATCGCTTAGAAAATAATACATTATAAAAGAAAAAGAACACGATAATGAAAGAGATGGAAAAAGAGAGAAGGAAAAGAAGGGGACAACCACTTATGTTGCTGATTAGGTTGTAACCTTAATAAACTCGGAGCAAGTTCTCTACGTGTGCGCCGTTATGGCTGGCTATTAACTGTGTGAGATCACAGTTCGCGAGATGTCGATGCCGACAAGTGTTACTTTAAAAAAGCAACGTATGTCGATGATAACAATCGGATAAAACAACAAGTAACGAGCGAGAATAATATAACAAAATTGATATCATTTCGATATGACAGCGTATGAATTGTGTCATACATAAGCAATAAAAAAGAAAACAGTTGAGTTGTATTGTGAGTTATACATTCTCTGATTATTTATCCAAGTGTTTTATAAGGAAGAGTCTAGCAAAGCAAACTTCTTTTCTTTGACATACAAAAATTAATTTCTCATGAACAGCAGAAATAAAAATATAAAGTGCTAAATGTGTTGATTATATACATATATCTTTTTACAATGGTTAAATATTTTCATCCGTTGATTACTAAAATCGATGTACATTATTATTCAATTATGAGTTACCGAAATTATCTCATAATTGAAGACAGCATTATAATAGCTTTCTAAATGTCAATCTAATGATGCTACGATATATAAGATCTCCGAATGATTCATAATATACATATTTACATATAACGTTTGTACTGCAAATAGCATGCCGTGAGGCGTTACACGTACTACGTAATAAAGATTGACGTCGTATCAATTTATCATCTTATCATAATTTAATCTAGATTGAGATCTCTAAATTCAAGGTTATTGTTTAAATTGAATCGAGCCAAAAATTGATCGTTGAATCGATCAGTTTAAAAACAACGTAAATCCAGAATTAATAAAAGTCAAAATAATCGTTGAAATGCGCTCCATATATAACATACAATCTACGGGAAAAAGCAAGTCCACATAACAATCACATCATAAGCCCATGTCGTTCCACAACAAGAAAAATCCTACAAGGCGATCGCTTTTATTTGCCAGACAATTTGGACTATCAAACCTGAGTATTATTCCCGAAGCAGAATGAAGAGTTCGATTATCTTATAAAATGACAAATTTAACGAATCACATATTATACGCACAAGTTACATACGTAACACGGGCAGACGCCAGTGGATGAAAATAGCACGAAAATATTAACTCACACTACTGATAGCACACACATCTGCCAGATCACGTTCAGACGAGCGACTACCGGCGACAATTAAACTTTACCGTTCTCTGGAAAAAAAAAATATTATATAACAATATTATGAGAGCGGTTTTGTACGGACACAATCGTACCGAGCGACTGGCGCACGTCCCCGTACCATGTGGACCTGCAACTTCGCCGTTGCTTACGATTCAACGTTGTGGAACAACACAAATCCGGGCCAACCAGCTACAAACAAGGACGGCGACGAGAGAGAAGAACGCTCACAATGAGCTTGCTCATTGTACATATATACACGTATCCGAGCGTTAGATGCTCGTTCAGAATCAATTCAGCCAGGTATTGCTGTCAACGTATAGCGCGCGGCCAATATCAGTATCACGCGCCAGAGATATAATCGTTTCTTTCTACAGGAAGCCCGAGGATTAAATCCGCACAAAAGATAATACGCGAAAGATATTATCCGCTAGATTAAAAGTTTTTCATACTTTTACTTACGTACTTATTTGCATAAACTCACTCTACATAGT